GCTGTGCCTCATTCCTTATTGCAATATGCACATTTTTTTCAACAAGAAAGCAGAATAGATATTTTTTATTAAAAATGTTTATGCATTTAGACAAGGGGATCTGAATAAAAATTCCTATGTAGGCATTTAGGTCTGCCCATGGTGGTGTTTGAAAGTATACCATGGCCGTTACTGAAGTACTGATGAACAGTTTCTCTTCTAGATGACTGTTACCTAAACTTAGTACCTTTGAGAAATGTCATTTGGGTTCTCAGTTGTGGTCTGTTAAAGGTTAGAATTACCTCTAAGAAATCAATGACAAACCCAGCATAAATTCGAAGATGCCAGACACATCGCTAAAACATTTGTAAGTGTAACTGTTTGCACTTTGTTTTGTCCAGCTGCGTGGCTTTGCATGGCATGGCTCTTTCGGTTTCCACCATCCTCCCTCCCCCCCCGACAACCTCTTCTTCACCTTGAATAAAGTGAAACTGAATTTTATTTGACTGGAATGTGATTATTGTTTGTTTTCTTTATATACTGCTTTAATTAACAGGTAATAACAGAATATCGTAGGTAGAAGTTGACCAGTTAGGTCAAATCCTATCTGTAAGAACATAAGGTCAAGCTACTGTTGCAGCCATCTCACTGAAAGCAGACTACAGACTTCAGTCTTTACCTCTGATTTATTATAAGGACACATTTTTAATAACTAGATTGACATGTATAAGCTCCCTTTAAAGTTTTTTTTTTCTATTGCCGCATTGAAAAAACACAGATGATGTTGCCAGATAACCAGATTCTTATGAAATCCTCTTTGTTTCCCCAAATAAAATTCTGTACATATGCCATTAGCTATTTATTGCCTTTAGCACTTCACAAAATACACTTGCATATCAAAGAAATCATGAAGGCCTTTTGTTGCTGCCGAGTTATTTTTAGCATTCTACCTGCAAATAACAAATACCACACACTAGTCAATAAGATTAATATTACTGTGTAATGGTAGTTAACAGTTAATACTTGCAGCATATTCTTTAATTTTAATTGCAAACCTTAAGTTTCCTAAATATTCTGCTGATGTAAAACAATTTCAATAAATACATCCCATACCTTAATAGGATTGCTAGGTCTTGTGGCTTGTTCCTAAATAGCTGCATATCCATATCACATTTAAATAGACTTGTATATATTTATTTCCTGATATTGTATTAGCTTCAAGAATGAGAATATTCTACAAAACTATTTAAGATTTTTTTTTTTTCCCCTTCTTGAGCCTTTCACATTTGAATTGCAGAAAAGAACTACCTAAAGATGGCATTGCCTGGAATCACGTTTGTACAAGGCAAGAGTGCACAGTGTTTCTTCAGCAAATCATACAATTCCGCAGTACCTTTTTCCAGCATTAAACTCTCTCAGTTGATCCCTCTCCACCTGCAGTGACTAATCTTTACTGACTATGCAGCAAAACCTAAAGCAGCAACCAATATAATGAAACATTCACTTCCCAGGAACTAAGGATAATAGGTGGCTGAAGTTCCGGGCAGTTAATTACTGAGGTTTGGGTTTTTTCCTGCATTGATCAATTTATTTGTAACTTCTGCAAAGGAAGGGTCTTGGGTTCTATTCTTAAATGTGTTACTAAAACCAGACGGCGAAGGAGCCGTCTCTCTTGCTATTGTGTGCAGATTATTATGGAAATCAGTTCAATACTGTGGAAGGTTTGGGGTTGTTTTCCAGTATTTTTTTTAAGGAATTGAGACAGTGTATTTCAAAAGAACAGGGTTATTAAATGTAGGAACTGTTGGTGAAAAATACTTATAATATGCATTTTGTATTTGTAATTGTCTCAGGTATGGTGAAAAGTGTTTCTGACTGTTTTTCTTTTGTTATTTTTTTTTCACATGCATCACGATATTTGTGTCATTATGCAGATCAAAATTTTACAAAGCACTTCACATTTTCATACAGAAAACATTTGTATTTATCATATCATCTTCTCTTGAAATGCAAATTGTCAGTTTGGTTATGTGATTCTTGAATGCATTATGTTTTTCTCTCTAAAACTGCAAATTAGCAGATAGCTGACACCTTTTTATTACTCAGACAAGATTTGCCTGTTATTGTTCTTACTGGTGGATCAATTAGGAATTTTCTGGTCAGTATATGCAAGTACGTATATGCATCACCTGTGAGCCAAGCTTCACTATTTTACAGAAGAAATGCAGCCATGACCTTGGTCACAATTTTTGCTTTTTTGACTGCAAGTGGGATCTAAGGATCTAAAATTCCATTCACAGGAGACACCAGATTTTCTTTATAAAAAGGTTTTGATGGTTTCCAGGGCAAATTGGAACAAAAATTCTAAATATTCTTGTAGTACTTCAAGGCAGGAGTAAATAAGCTTTTAAGTCTCCCCCTACAAGGAGTAAAAGAAGTCCAGGCCATTAATTTTTATTAACTTATCATTGCTACAGCAAAGACTGAAACAAATGCAACTTGCTGGCACAGGCATGACAAGGTAGGACACTAATAGACAGAAACGGAGAAAAAACAAAATCTCTTTTTGCTGGATGTCTCCCAGTTTTTTATCTTTGTTGGTTTTCATTCCTTGTTGCATCAAGTAGATCGAGAACCATGTGCAGAAGTTTGTCTTGGGGACTGCCCTCGTGAATGTTTTTAAATGTGGTTTGTGAAGTGTGAAGGAAAAGCGTTCTTGTACTGATGGCTCCTGTGAAACGTTAACTGTCTCACCATCTGCAAAGCTTGCGCTACAGCAAAGCCAGGCTCCCAAGTTCATGGCACCAATATGTGCTTTGCCCATAGACAGCAAATCTTGACTCAAGATACGAAACCGCTGAGAGTTTAAACCGGCGTTTCCCCAGAATTTCCCAGAGGGTTCAAAAGTGAATCAAGCAGTTCAAGCGTTTGGGTATTTCATATGTTTTCCTCCATCAAATCTGCTGCCCTAGAAAAAGTATTTTTGTTGTCATCTTTTCATGTGACTGGAAGGTCTTAAGTAATGTAAAAACTCCAAGATATACAGATTTTTGTGGCAAAAAATGCTTTTGAATTAATTTTTGGGCAACAATGGTTGGTTAGTTTAGGAAAGCAGGTCTGAGCACTTACGATGTCAGTACTTCTGAGGGAGAGTAGAGATGACATTTTGGGGACATGGATGACACGCAGACACAGACACACACACACAGACACACACACAGAGACATGTTGTTTTCTTCTGTGCTTTCTGTCATTCCCCCTTGCCCACTTCTCGTTCAGCAAGTGGCACCATACCCTGTCCCTCGTCCCAGGGTATACTGCACTTTAGTCAATCCCTTGGTGTCAATTACTGCCATTCACTAGGGTAGGCACAATATGTAGGCCAGTGTCCTTCCCTCACAGAACAACGTTAAAAGCAGCGTACTGCTACAGTGTGCTACTTGTGCCAACTCTAAAGGAAGAGCAAATGAATCAAACGTTACAGGCTGTTTTCTGCTATGGCTCTGGACATAGTTTGCTTTTTCTGTACTGCTGGACAAAAGCGAACTGTCCTGTTTGTTTAATATGTAAAACAGTAAACATTCTTTATGGGCCATGAAGGGTCAGGGTGTGCTTTTCACAGGACTGAACTGCAAGAGCTATCAACCTGCCTGAATACACAGAAGTACTACTAAAGCTGAAAAATGAGTATTACTTGAATATTTTCTGTGCTGCATAGAAATTGCTATTTTATGCTGACTGATAGTAAAAACTATTGCTATAGTATTTCCTCTTGGAAAAATGGAATTTTCATGTACTTAAATACAGGGGAACCTCTGTACAGTGGCACATCTTTTGAGCTGAATTACTGATAATAACATACTAAAACACTAACAGAGTGTTCTACTAAAATGCTGTCCTTACAAGGGTTGCTGGGTTAGCTATTAAGTGCCACTGACCTCCACAAATTTTGCATGGTTTTCAAGACTAGCCTAATGTCTTTATTATTTCCTCTTCGAATTTTTGACCTGGTGAAGGAGAATTGACCCAAGTTATCAGTGGTGCTGACATCTTTAGTGGAGAGGTTTGGAGTTGGGCAGGGCATGGAGGAAATGAGAAAATGGCTGGGAATCTTTTAGAGGAGAGGCTTTACTGCTCTCTAATCCATGCAGAACTGCCTGTGAAGCTCAACGACAGGAAACTGCAGAGGGCAAAAAGCAAGTTATGTTAGTGACTCAGAGGACTTTTAAGGCCCAGTTTATCGCAGGCAGCTGTGGATGACCTCCAAGCTCCTGTGGCAGTGAGTGCTGAGAATGTTTGCTAAATGCTGTGCTGTTTGAGAAACGCTTTTTCCCTTCAGAAAAGAGTAAACTCGACAGACTGCTTACAAGATCTTAATCTGTCATTTCTTAATTGTGAAAGGGATTTTATTATTGTAAGGCACTTGAGCAAAAACGCAGTGATATGCAAGGGTCACTAATAATTAATTTTTTTGTAATGATTCCTAGACCATTAACAGGTTTGGCCTGTCAAGGCTACTGAGAGATGCTTCTAAAAAATGTAATAGGTTTACCCTAGTCTTTCAACTACATTGCTCAGAACAAGAATATAAAAATGTCTAGTAAAAATGTCTAGCACCCTACAATAACACTATCTTGTCATTTTTAAGGCATCACTTTGAAATTTTCTAAACTATGATTGTAAATGCTAGATATAAAAAAAAAAAAAATCTTAAGAAAACACCAGCTGGACAGCAATGTAGTTTATGTACATTCTTCTACATATACTTAATTCTCACAGCTGACAAAAAACAACTCACAGACAAAAGTAATATGGAAAATATGAACACAGTATTTTAAAAGTATAGCTTAAAAAGTAAACTTTGAAACTCATTCTTTAAAGCTCTCTTAATCCATACTTCAGTAAACATAAATCATCCTCCCACTTCTGTAAATGGTCTCTAAAAAGACACCATCTTCTTTTATCAACACAGGCTGTGCTATGAGTAAGTCACACTTTGTAGCTGCCACCATGTTTTTTCTTTAAACCAGGTTGAACTCCTTCAGGTTTAATTGCAGGATCGTGTCCTTGACAGCAGCGAAGACAAAACGAATATTTTCTGTGTCTGTGGCACAAGTGAAGTGGGAATAGATTACTTTTTCCTTGTCTGGATTCTGATCCTGATACAGCTTCAGAATGAATTCTCTCGCAGCTTTGACATCTTGTTTAGGTCCTAGTCAAAAGCACAATTAGTGGTTTTGAACAGTTAAAAGCTACAGGTCAAGGAAGAAGCACATGATATGTTAGTGGAGCAAAAGCTGTTACAACACTGCTTTCTAAAATGTGTGGAGTATGCTTTTTTTAACGGTAAATCTTAGAGGTCAAAGTACTTTTTATAAAACCCTACACAACTGAAATTACCCAGCATCTATTAATAGTTTGCTACCTTATTGTATTATGTCAAAGACCATGAGAGAAATTAAACTTTCTAAAACACACCAGAGTAAATAGGATTCTTTTTGGCCAAAAGAGGGTCGTGTATTTTCTCTGTAGCTATTAAATTGTTATAACTCTTTTCTTTATTAATTGTAGGATTCAACGTGATACATGTCTTGCAGAATATAATACGGCATTAAGTAGTGTAATACATCTGTGATTGTTTTCATCATTCTTTTGGCAACTTGAAGTATCAGTAACAAAGTTATTCAGGCTGCTTTTTAACTTTGCACTTTTATACAGATAACAAGTTATAATAATGAATGCAAAACTATACTATAGGTTTTCATTATATAAAAAGTTGGATTAATAGCTGTGTTCCCTAAGTTCCTCCTGTAATTTGTCTCTTGAGATCAAAGATGAAAAAGGTGCTGTTTCTTATAAATAAAAAGTGATCGTGCCACTCTAATGGTAAGAGAATGGCTGCAAAAAATCTCTTAAGGCTCTGTCCACAATGCTCCAGTAAAAAACCCAAAAAACTTAAGTTTTTATTTTAAAGGATAGAGTAGGAAAGCATAGATATCAAATATATTGCATAATTCCACTTTCCATGTTCAATTTAATGAGGAAAAACTAACTTTTAAATATGACTAGCTTTGTGAATATAGTGTGGGATAAATGCTTACCTGTGTATTCTGGAAAGTAACTAATTAGATGGGAATACATGATTTTCTCTTCTAGAAGATCTTTTTTATTTAAAAACAAAATGACTGAAGAATTCATAAACCAGGGATATGTAATGATAGTTTTAAATAAGGCCTTGCTTTCTTCCATTCGATTCTACAACAAAAATTAATATGAGCTTACATTTTCTAGTAGCATATACAAATCACATCAGCCAGAGATCATAAAGATTTTTTTTTAAAGCTTTTTTAAAAAAATTACTTTTATTAAATGCAATTGCAATGCACTGGTTGATCATTACTCTTCATATTCTATATCCTTTTATTCACTGGGTTTTGGATCACTGCTGTGAATGGCATGATGGTGTGTGAAATCAAGGTAAGCCTTAATAATAGAGATTATTTGAATTCTTGTACGAGTTAGTGAGCAGCCATGGACTGCTGCTCTGTGAAAGCCTCTTCAGACCTCACAGTGAGAGCTGAAGCAGAGTGTATCAGGTCAAATACCTGATATTAACATACTGTGACATAGCTAAAGGACAAGAGCATATGTCATCATCTATACGAGTAATAAAGTCTGTCCATTTCAAGAGAGATCTGAGGAACTCTACATTTAGAGATTGCTGTTTGGAGTTGCTGAGGATGGGCTTGTGATGGCAGTCAGTTTGTTATTTATTTCCTAATGTCCAAAGTGAGCATAAAAAAATCATTCATGATAATGAAAGGAAAAAGAAAATTACAGTTACTGAAGTCGTTCATGCATCAAAAAGATGACAGCAAACTTTTTGAAAACTATCTCAACTACAAAGATGTGACACTTCAGCAAGTGAAGTAGGGTATGCTTTTCACAGCTCAAACAGATGTTGAGAAAAGTGATCTGTAAGGGCTTTGGGACTTCATAGCTGAAATGGTATTACGTGCGTTTGAAGGACATTTGAAGGAATCTCTGTACTGCAGGATGTAAAGCAACCGCTACCAAAAGTAATGCAGTTCCTAACTGCACGCTTTCTAACACGCTTTTCGCTCATTGCCTACTGTTTTCTTTTTTGCATCCTTCTCTACAACATCTGGCTACTGCTGATGATGGCACTTCAGAACAGATGGGAGAACTCATGTTTTCTAACCTTGGGAAGGAGGTAAATGTTAAGTTATTTTGTTTTAATTGTCCTTAATTAATGCACAGGTTAACTCTGAAACATCAGAGACTTAAACAAACAAACAAAAACGCTAACTGTAGATCACTGAGGTAGTTTTACTTAGACATATTGCTGATACTCAAATTATCAAACATTTGACATGGGTTAAGTGATTTAAAACACCTTAAAATATCTTTTGTCTTCTAAGGTAGAGTTCACTTTTTAAATACAACTTCAGGACTGCTTTATGAGCTTCTTAATGTAATTCTAGTATTTGCAAATGCTTTTACGAAGACACGTGAATGCTGTCTTTCTTAAACACATCTTTTTCTGTACCTTATATACCCCCACTCCTTACCTCATTGTCACATTCTGCCAAGACTTGATCATATTCACTTAAAGCAACTAAGAAAATTATGGAAGTAACACTTTCAAAACAATGGATCCACTTCCTTCTTTCCGACCTTTGGCCACCTACATCCACCATCCTGTTAAACAGAAATACAGTCAACACACATACTAGTCATTTTCATCAGACACTTTAAGTATGTCCAAAGGGCTTATAATAGATTGCCTACCTAAGTTAAGTTTGAACTGTGAAAAGTGTATCTTAACACTGTATGTTCCGTTTAATATTTAAACTTGATTCACTTGCTGCAAGTGCTACAACTGTCACTGTTCTTTACTGTTGTTGTGGGTTAATCCCGGTGGGCAGCTAAGCACAACACAGCTGCTCGCTCACTAGCCCCTTACACAGTGGCTGGACACGGGGAGAGGAAAGAAAGAGTAAAAGCAAGAAAACCTGGGAGTCATGACTAAAAGAAAATAATAGTTTAATAAAGTGAAGGATGAGAGGAAGAAGAGATAAAACAAGTGACGCAAAAGCAATCACTCACCACCTACCAGGAGTAGACCAATGCCCAACCAGTTCCTGAGAAAAAGACAGCCAACCTCCCTAAAGCCTCCTCTTTCCACTTTTATCACTAAGCATGACATTATATGGCATGAAATATGTCTTTGGTTAGTTTAGATCATCTGCCTGGCAATGTCCCCTCCCAGCCTCTTGGGCACCCCCAACCTGTTCAGTGGGGTGCAGAGAAACAGAGAAGGCCTTGGTGCAAACACTGTTCGGCAAAAGCTAAAACACTGGTATGTCGTAGGTACTGTTTCGGTAACGAATCTAAAACACAGCACCATATCAGCAGCTATGAAGAAAACTAACTTTATCCTAGCCAGGCCCAGTACAAGTGTATAAGCCACTTGAGGCACAATTTAAAAAAAATACAATGCTGGGGTTTTTTTCTCTGTTTCTAGAAGTTTTAGCAAGGCACATGTGAACATATTTAACTTTCCCCATACGTTCCAAAAATCTCCCTTGCCAGCCCCCTGCCAAAACCCCAGTATAGTCATATCTCACTACACAAAACAATCAAAATGCTCACAAATACCTCAGCTGTACATCAAATTTCTATGGTTTTGCAGAAAATTAAGTCAGTCCCCAACATTTTATCGACTTCAAAGTGTTCTCTAGAACATTCCATTTTCCAGGGAAAAAAAAGCAAGCAACAAAATCACAGTTAGGCTGGTTTGACCATGTGTTATCAGTGGCTTCTGGGTCTGTTTTGTAACTGCAGGCAGCTGCTTGTTCATGATGAAATGGGTGGTTTGGTGGAAGTACATCTATAATCATGCTAGTGTGAATTCTGCAATTTTGAAATAAAAAAAAAAATGCTTTCCCTTAGAAAATCCGTAACACCACCTGTTCCAATAGCTTGTCTAGTAGCAGATAAGATAACCTTAGGTGCTTCTCAGACTTTCAACTTTATGACTACGCTTGTTTTTCTCAATTCTACTGAACTTTTTTTTTATGTGGCAGGAAGAACAGAAGTATCTACTGTCATGACCCTCCACTTCTCTTTTTTCCTCCTCCTTCCCTCAGTGCCTCTTTTTTAACTTTATCTAACTGGAAGTTGTCAACTCATTGAGGGCTTTAGACTATCTATTAGGGCCCTCTCTTCCAAATAGTTGCAGTCAGGAGGCAGAAACCATTTGCTCTAAATGGAATTAAACAACATTCCGATACGAGCACTCATGTTACTACAAACACCTTGCCTCTGCATCCCCCCATCCAAGGCTTTTAATTAAACTATTAGTTCAGAATACATAGGAATTGGGCTGCTCGAATTGAAAAGCTTTCTTCATGTAATGTAAATTTCAAAAGGAATGTTTTGAAACACCGCTCAAGTTACCATATTAACTTCAGAGACTAAAAGAGCTGGAAACACATACAACACTCATCGAATGCAAAAGCTTGAAGGACCTTAGAAGTAAAGTTGCAGCAACTACTTTCATAATTGCATACCTATTTGACAGATATTCTTACCTAAATACAATATTTTCTAAATCAAAAGGATACTCCATAATTCCTGTAGTTGGCACTCGGACTCTAAGAATATCTTGCTGAGTTGGCACAAATGAGGGCATAGCAATACGATCAAGGTCAGAGAGATAACTAAAAAGTTAAATATACAACAGAAACAAGATTAATGCACTATCATAAATTAATCACACAGATTGAAACCCAAAGTATTAACAAGCAATCACAGAAGTGTTCCCACAAAAGCAGCTAAACAGAAATTCAGTTGTGCGTGGCCTTTGTGCAATTGTTGCTGGCATAAAACAACAACAAAAAAACCCCTTTACTTTAACTGAGACCTGCATTTACATTTCAGACAGAATAACACTAGTCAAAAGGGATGATGCCTGAATGTTCTATAGACAATCAGCCCACACCCAAAATGATTAATTTTATTTGAATAATCTTTGCTATTACCCCAAAATAAGCATCAGAATTAAGATTTGAACACATATATAAATATCAGTCCTAGCCATAATCACAGAATCATAAAATCATAGAACAGTTTTGTTTGGAAGAGACCTTCAAGATCATCAAGCCTAACCTTTGTCCTAGCTCTGTCAACACCACTAAACCACGATCCTAAGTACAACATCTACCCATCTCTTAAACACCTCCAGGGATGGTGACTCCACCACCTCCCTGGGCAGCCTGTTCCAATGCCTGACAACCCTTTCAGTAAAGAAATTCTTCCTCATCTCCAGCCCGAACCTCCCCTGGTGCAGCTTAAGGCCATTAATGTTTACCAACAGTACTCTATCCCCTGTCACTTCATCCATGATGCCAACATTGCACACAAGTGTGAAAGGTTGCTGGACAGAATTCAGAAGGGTAATTAATGGAAAGCACTGCAAACATGAACGCTTCAAATGTATCTTTTCAATATAAAAGATTATGCAATTTCTCATCTGCCCATGCAGTCATTCTTAACGTTACCCTTCTTAGCTTCACAAGGCTCCTGTGCTTTTCTTCACTGGGATTAAATTCTGCGATGACATTCCTGTGCCTCAATAAATGAGCAGCGTGTGAGCAAGTCACAAAGAACCGATGCCTGGTATTCCTCTCTGCAACCTATCTTCCCACCACTAGGAGGCAACATTAGATCAGCCAAAATCCTAACAAGCAACCAACGCTCATACAACATGGTTGTAGCATAAACTTTCCTTTATTTAAGCACTAATTCACCTCTTTTCTTTTGTTGACAGCAGGAGGGTGTCGATGTATTCTCCCCTTACTGCCCAAACATCCCTCAACTTGGGTTCCAAAAGAAAAAATACTCACACTTAATGTGATCATTTTCTCAGAAAAGATTTATCCTAAGAATAAGAAAATTCCTCCTCTCCAGCAATGTAGCAAATTGTTATTGAGATCTAAATCATAATTAACACTAAAAGAAAGGTTTAATAAAATTTAAAATATAACTAATTTTCAGTTGTAGCTGATTTCTTAGAAAATGAGCTACAGTAGACCATTAAGTGGCATCCCTCTCCAACATAAGATTATCCGAGAAAAAGGCAGACAAGGCATCTGTCAAGAATGATAATGCTTAACACACAGGAACAGATTGCCTATGTGTAACTATGAGTTAAAGTCTACCATAAATGCCTAATCTAAATGTTCCTTGCTGAAATTTAACACTGTTACTTCTCAACCTTGGCAGAACCAGAAATGTAAATTTTCTTTCTCATGAAACAATCATTTTTTCACAACTAATTTCTTTGAAATTTGGGGAACAGACCTATCTTCATTCTTACTTATATCCTAATTTTTTCACATAACAACTGAACTGTCTGACCTGCCCACTTGTCAATATATTTTGTACAGCTGTATTTCATGGTTTCCCCCAAGGGAAACTCAGTTATGTACCAGCTGTGTTGACCTCAGAACTGGGAGGGGTGATGGTTCCAGCATGTTCAGAAAGCCTAAAATCAATTTGTTTCATCACTCCACCATAAAATTTGTTGTGTACCACAGGCCAACAGAGTCAAGGTATAACTAGAAAAATCAGAGTGAATCTCTGTCATCATTATGAGCCAGCAGTGTGCCCAGGTGGCCAAGAAGGCCAACAGCATCCTGGCCTGTATCGGAAATGGTGTGGCCAGCAGGAGTAGGGAAGTGATCATGTCCCTCTACTTGGCACTGGTGAGGCTGCACCTCAAATGCTGGGTGCAGTTCTGGGCCCCTCATTACAAGAAAGATCCTGAGGTGCTGGAGTGTGTCCAGAGAAGGGCAATGAAGCTGGTGAAGGGCCTGGAGAACAGGTCTTGTGAGGAGCGGCTGAGGGAGCTGGGGCTGTTTAGTCTGGAGAAGAGGAGGCTGAGGGGAGACCTCAACACTCTGTACAACTACCTGAAAGGAGGTTGTAGTGAGGTGGGGGTTGCTCTCTTCTGCCAAGTAACAAGCGATAGGATGAGAGGAAATGGCCTCAAGTTGCTCCAGGGGAGGTTTAGATTGGATGTTAGGAGAAATTTCTTAACAAAAGAGTGGTCAAACATTGGAACAGGCTGCCCAGGGAAGTGGTGGAGTCACCATCCTTGAAGGTGTTCAAAAAACGTGTGATGTGGCACTTATAGACATGCTTTAGCAGGCATGGTGGTATTAAGTCAATGGTTGGACTTGATGATCTTAGAGGTCTGTTCCAACCTAATGATTCCATGATTCTTATCGCTCTCTACAACTACCTGAAAGGAGGTTGTAGGCAGGTGGGTGTTGGTCTCTTCTCCCAGGTAACAAGTGACAGGACGAGAGGAAACTCCCTCAAGTTGCGCCAGGTGAGGTTTAGGTTGGTTATTAGGAAAAAATTCTTTACCTAAAGGTTTGTCAAGCACTGGAAGAGGCAGGCCAGGGAAGTGGTGGAGGCACCATCCCTGGAAGTACTTAAAAGCTATATAGATGTGGCCTTTAGGGACATGGTTTAGTGGTGGACTTGACAGCGCTAGGTTAACAGTTGGACTCAATGATCTTAAGGGTCTTTTCCAACCTAAATGATTCTACGATTAACTTCATTAGGTCTGGCTTGTTCTTGTAATTACATTACTTACTACTTAGCAGAGTCTGAGAGCTGGTACTCCCTCCGTCTGTCATAGCACTCTTGAATTCCTGGGTCTTCCCAGAGCTTCTTGATTGCTTCAACTTGTTTTCTTTCCAGCACTGTCACTTTATCCACTTCCACTTCTTTGATCATTAGAGCACTCTCCTAATCAATTAAATGATTACACTATTTTGAGAAAGGATTGACACTGGTATGCAATACACACTCTCCCCTTTCTTTATTACACTCTTCCCATCAATGAGACTAAGCATCAGAAAGTATAAGCAGTTTTAATCCTTGAATGCATTTAATTTTTCAAGTCAACTGACTGCTACTGAATGTTTTAACCAAGTCAGTTCTTGCTTACTGTCATCCACATGTGATTCTTTTTAAAAGAGGAACTTGATAAAAGGTCAGAAGGGGCTCTAAACCTCCTATTTTTAAGCTCATTAGATTTTTATGCCAATTTATAACAGTGGTAATGTTTCTAAAATTCTAGATACTTACTTTAGTACAGATACTTTTGGTTTGTTTGTTTCAGGACAAACCAGAGGCTGATCAAGCATAAACAGTCACCAAGCAGGCATCAAACTCCTAAAAGCCATTTTCTGATTACTGTCTAGCTCGGTGACATACAGCCAAGGTACTACTCTATGGAAAGAAGTAATTTTTCCTTGCTCTCTACTGTTAAGTGTAAGAGGTATTGCAAAGATAAATGTAAGTTTTGCTTGTAAAGGACAAAAGAATCTATTGTTCTTCAGTGAGTGGTGTGGTCGACACACTGCAGGGAAGGGAGGCCATCCAGAGGGGCCTTGACAGGCTGGAGAGGTGGGCCTGTTCAAACCTCATGAAGTTCAAGGCCAAGTGCAAGGTTCTGCACCTGGGCTGGGGCAATCCCAAGCACAGATACAGACTGGGCAACGAGTGGATCGAGAGCAGCCCTGGGGAGAAGGACTTGGGGGTGCTGGTGGGTGAAAAATTAGACATGAGCTGGCAACATGCGCTTGCAGCCCAGAAACCTAACCACATCTTGGGCTGCATCAAAAGAAGCGTGACCAGCAGGTCGAGAGAGGTGATTCTGCTCCTCTACTCTGCTTTCATCAAGACCCTGCATAGAGTACTGACATGGACCTGTTGAAGCAAGACCACAAAAACGTGGAACACCTCTCCTATGAAGAAAAGCTGAGAGAGTTCGGAGTTGCTCAGCCTGGAGGAGAGAAGACTCCAAGGAGACCTTATTGTGGCCTTTCAGTACTTAGAAGGGGCTTATAAGAAAGACAAAGACTTTTTACCTGGGCCTGTAGTGAAAGGACATGGGGCAATGATTTTAAAGTGAAAGTGGGTAGATTTAGCTTGAAAATGAGGCAGAAAATTTTTATGATGAGGGTGGTGAGATGCTGGACCAGGCTGGCCAGAGAAGCTGTGGCTGCCCCCTCCCAGGAAGTGTTCAAGGCCAGGTTGGATGGGGTTTGAGCAACCTGGTCTAGTGGAAGGTGTCCCTGCCCATGGGATGATCTTTAAAGGTCCCTTCCAACCCAAACCATTCTGTGACTGGAAGCATTCTCTTGTAACAGTTCAACTGGATATATACTGATGTTTGTTAATACCTTTAGTGGTCTGGAAATGTACCGTTCTAAAATGCATTTAATATTGAAACAAATTAACTTATTTAGTGTTTGGAATATAACAAACTGGTTACTGTAAATTCAGTTTGCCAAGACTTCTTCCAGTACATTGCTAGATATCATTTAGATTTTAACTTGCATCCTCTTAAAAAATGAAATAGGGTTTCTTTCCGACCTCTTATTTAAGCCTGGGAGAATCACAAATAGAAACGCTGCATACAGATCTGGTTGGGATCCAGGGTTTGAACTGGAAAATATGAATACTGATAGATCTGTTAATCTAGTCATTCAAAACAAGATAAAAATCAGTCAGAAAACAGGACTTTTGTAGTTATGGGGTCTTTAAGCCACCACGGACAATTGCAAAACTATGTAACATAGAGCCTAATGCCTCGAAAGCAATTTCTCCTTGCTCAGTTCAAATTAATTTTAAATACTGTAATTCTCCAAAATGTTGTGAATATACTACTCTTCTCAGTTTTCACATTATAGACCTACAATGCCTGGATAAATTCTCCATGATTGGAATTATCTTTGATTTTACAGGTATTCTGTTACAAAAAAACAAATGCCAAGTATTCAGATTTTTAAAACTGTTCTTTTTTAAAAAATAGTAGCTAAAAGCTTTAAACATAACTGTTATTCCTGCTACACTGTAAATGGTTAATCAATGTTAAATAGTTTAAAATGCACCATGGTATAAACATTCCTGTTAGTATTTCGTCTAGATTCTTTACAGATACAATGGAATCGATACTGGTTTTTTACCTTAATTTTTACACATCATAACTATGTTAGCAATATAGGTAATGTTTTCTATTTAATAAATTATTCTGTTCAGTAACTATTACATCAAATGTTCACACTGATCTAGAACAATGTAAGAAGATCGTTACCTGTGATTTATACTATATTTAGGCACTGTATATGAGGTAAGAGATTAGAGACCCTGTTTTCTGGCAGTAACTGTTTCCATATTTTCTGGTGAAAGACATGCAGAATCATTTGGATTATGAGTAACTCTTTCTTCAATTCACTACAGTCATAGAACAGATACCCTCTTCTAGAGAAAAGAAAGGGCTCTGGCATGCAAATACGCGTCACGGCATTTTGACTGGTGTTGACTCCGGCTTCATTCCATTCTAAACCCTAAGAGGGCTTCATGTAATTGTAGTTGCAAAACCGGCTTTGGCACTAGGTCCTTGTAAGTGCCTACATCTGCAAACCTCAGTCCCCTTATATGGCCTAGTGCCATGTGACAACAGGAAAAATCCTATTTGGGAAAATAATTCAGATTAATCTTTCATAGTATAAAATAAATAGAGTTCAACACTGACAGCTAGTCTCATGCTTGTAATTCAAAGAAAAAAAAATCCTACAATGGAGAGAGAAATTACTTAATGCACCAAGTGATTTTAGTGTCATTCTAGGGGTATGTCTTCCTCATCCTCAGTAAATAGGCACGTTACTAATAAAAACCACCTTTGGTATGAATTATGGGTGGATAACATGGCATGAAAACAAGAAACAGAAAATTTCCATTTCCTTAAAATGCAGTCTTCAGGATAAATGAGTAATCTTAGGAGACAGTGTACAATAATCCAGCCAGAATCTGATGGTGACTAAACTTGAAACACACTCTACAATGTCCTTCGAAGTAGCAGCAACTGCTTCAAACTCGGCAGCAGGAGAGTCCTGCATTTTTTTATACTGGAAAATACCAGTATCTTAACTAAAACGCAAGTGTCACAGGGTTTCATTTGAGCGTGTGAACTTCTGCGTATGAGTGTGTGTGACCATTTATTACTAACAGCAAACATTCATCATAAGTAACAACCAGAGCAATGCTAGCTATTTCAGCCTCTGATTACTGTAATGACTGAAGTAAATGATTTTTCTACAAAATTGTGTTGACATGATAAAATGTATCAATGTAAAACAGGATTATAATTGGAAATGGATTGTTTGTTTTCCATCTAGATGTAACAATTAGATTGTCAAACATTGATATTAGCTATAGCTTAGTTGTAGATATTCAGTATTGTATTCATGGTCAACACAAATATTGATCGACACTGAACTGAAAATTTGCAAGCCATGGCAAAAGTAAGCAAGCCCCCAAACTCCATACACAGCTCTTCCAGTACATAATAAGAAGCAATTCTGTTAATCAGGGCTTTCTTGGTTTTTAAATTGTTGTATCTAACTCATGAAGGACTTTTGCTGATTATTGCAAATAAGTGGCCTTTGAATCTGTCAAAAACTGTGAAAGCTAAATAAATTTTCAAACCAGCTGTAGATCTTTAAGCTAGTTTGACACCTGATAAAATACTTAAATGTAGCTTTTTTTCCTCTCGTTAAACACTATAAAGGGTAACTGAATGATGTAAGATGTCCCACAAGGCTCACAGGGCTTTTACTATTTTGCGGTAGAATTCCACCACTAGGAATTCTAGAAAAGGGTTATAAAACTTGTCAACACTTAGTAATAAAGTTTACATTTTACCAAATATCTTTTCGCATTGCCAACAGCATGCCATGAAAGTTGTTTATCATAAAACTGGGATTTTGGCAAGAAGTGGACCTCAGTGTTTCAAGTGGACAGTGTCATATTTTAAAACCTTCCTTTGCAACTCAGAAAAACATCAGAAACTTAGTTTTCATTTCACTCAAAGACAGAGTGGAATTTTATAGAATTCTCACTCACCACTAAGAAGTTAGCCCAAGAGATTAAAATGTCTAAAATGGTGTGAAAATTTTTAGCATTGTAATACATAAGCAGCAGGTGCTTTACAGAAAGAAGAGAAAGGGCTCACTAACATGAGAAGAATAAACAACATGAATCTACAATCATTACAGACTGAACCAAGGAACAATGAGGGGAAATGCAAAACAGCACAAGTATATGTTAACAACGTCAGTTATCGGCACAAAATATTTTTTAATGAAATACAACCAACAAATCAGTTCCAGAATTCACTCTTAATTAAAAAACATAGAGCACATTATTGTCTCTCTAAACATGGTATAACCAGGAACAGCAAGTTACATTAGAAGTGCTGAAACATTTTTACATTCAAAATCCCTATTCTGAAGTTACTTTACTTGAGGCTGATTTTTTTTTAAGTAGACCTCTGCTTCTCAATGACATCATGCAGGCAGAGAAAAGAATACAGCTGATAAAATAAGGGTAAGTAATTCTGAATACAGCAGGAGAATATACTTGTTCCATTATTTAAAACAAAACAAAACAAAAAACCACAACAAACCACCACCACAAAGCAAAACCAAAAAACAAGCCTTATGATCCTGGAAAGAAAACTGATAATGTATAACAAAGACAGTAGCAAAATTGTTTGGCAAGTACATTCAAAACCTGTGTCTAAGCTGCTTAGAATATTAAAAATTTATTAGTCTCTTAAAAATCTATTACATTATTCTCCACTGGAAATCAGACTTAATTCTACAATTAAAGGACAACTTATGGTGTATAATAAGCAACACTTTAAGGTTCAATTGTTAATCTGTTTTCATCAAAAA